GACTTTAATATGGAGACGTGGAGACGCATGGAGACTTAAGTGTACTTCTATTGTGAAAAGCCGTAGTTTGTAAGTGAAACTGATTGACTGGTGTGCAAGGTGAGTCGTGCTGTTAATTTTTATTAAATAACATAAAACAACAGACCCGATAATAATCTTTTCTTAACCCTCCTCATTCACGACCGGACCAAAATGCATTACTACTGTCTCCAACCATGAGGAGAAGAACAGACGTTTAGAGGAGGGAAACAGCAGCACAGACAGAGGTACAGTAAAAGAAAAAAGTTAATAAGCGGTGTTTGTACATTTTATTATCAGCTGACCTGTGATGAAAAGAAAAATACCGTGCTATACCGTGAAACCAGTGTAAATGTTGAAAATACCGTGATATAAAATTTTGGTCAGACCGCCCAGCACTAATAACATTCATAAAGACTTTTCCTTACAAAAAATAATAATAATAAAGACTTTTCCTTACTATAAGAAAAACTAACTTTGAATTCATACCTCTCAGCTTGATGCTTGTAACAACCTGCTACAGCCTTTTGTTTTTATTGTTGCAAGGTGCTGAAGTCTGACAGGTATGTAGAGTTCACCTTTAATATAACCTGAAACCATTTGTTTGAGCAGTAAATATTTGTCATATAGAAACAGCTCCCTGAGGTATTTTGTGTAAAAAAAAATATGCATGCACATTCACTTCAGACTGCCGCACCTACCAGCTACTTTATTAGGTACACCTTGCAGGTATCAGGTTGGATCCCATTGCCTTTACAAACTTCTTTGTGACATAGATTCAACACAATGTTGGAAAACTTTCTCAGGAACTTTGCTCGATATTGACATGATACTGTCACACAGATTTGCTGCCGATGTGTCAAAAGAACATCCATAATGTGAATCTCCTGTTCCATCACATCCCAAAAGTACTTGAATGGACTGAGTGGAGACCACTGGAATTCAGTGGATTGAGACTCAGAGCAGGCAACGCTTTTCCAACGTCTTACTGTCCAGTTTTGGTAAATCTATGTAAACTGTAGCTTTAACTGTTCTTAGTTGACAGAAGTGGCAGGCTGTATTTTCTACACAAATGTTGCGTGAACTTAGGAGTTTTATTACAGTAATCACATTCTGACTTGTGAACAAACACACTTTGAATTCATTCAAAGATGTTGCAACTCATTGAAAAACAAAAATATTAAAGTGTGTCCTTTGTCTATAGCAAGAAGTTTATAAAAGGTTTACGAGAGCCTTAAAGAATACATTTTTGAAGAGAAAAGCTGCAGACTTTGTAAATATATTAACCAAGTTTTAAAACTATTAAAACTGTTTTTAAAAGCAAAACATATTTGTCCAATTATATTTCAATGGCAGCTACTTAAAACAGAAATTAGAAGATGGCACTTAGAAATTATTAAACACTAATAACTTCAATGTAAAACAATGGCCTTCCATCAGCTTAGAAGTTAAGTAATCAAACAAGATATCCCCAGTGAAATGCAAAACATGTCAAATATTGTCAATTTCTCTTTTGCAAAACATAAAAAAGCAAAGGAGCTCTGCAGGTTGAGCAAGTGAAGACAGAGACCCCTAGGGCAAACTTGCAATATTAGTTTTGCCATGGTCGGCCATTAATTTTTATTTGTTTTTTTTGTTTGTTTTAGTTTTTTTTTTTGCCCTTATTTACAATAGATTAGAAACGATAAGTTTATACATATTTAAACCAGTTATCACACCTCCCATTTTTTCTTGTAGGGCAACTTTAAACTCAAACACCTATTTAAATGAAGATCAGCTTGAGACAACTATCATTTTATCAAGCTGCACAGGTTCAAATGCATCTGTTGAAATTGTACAGACCATAGATATCAATGAATAAGTGACAAAATCCCACACAACTCATTAAATTCAAAACACAGATTTTTTTAAATAATATGTGGTTTTTGGCTCATGCAAAAAAATTTCATCTGGAACAATGATTCTCAACTGGTGGGCCACAGGCCTTTGTCTGGGCAAAGTATTCTGATTGTAATGCCAGTCTTATATTTAACGCTTAAAGGAGTAACTTAATGATTTTATCACATCGTTTTCGTTTTGCATTCAATGAGTCAGCTAAAGCTACACGTTTTGAGTGTTGATGAAACTACCTCTTGCTCGCCATGTTGTTTTATCATTAAACCTGTAGTTTTTGTGTTGACACTAGTCTACCATCTCAGGTTCTAACTGGATTTTCCTTACACTGGAGGAACTTGCAAAGTTGATAGTTTCTTCGATTTAGGTTGAGGCTGTCATTGCTTGGTAATGGTAGGTCCCATAGCCAAACCAGTTAAGATCCACTGGTCTAGAGCAGTGGTTCCCAAACTTTTTGTCTTCTGACCCACAAAATATCCATGGCAAAAACTTGTGACCCCAAATATTACTGGTCTGAGTACACAAACTTTGTTAATAACCCTAAATACACAGGCTTTTTGACAATCTAAACAGCTTATACACAAATATAAATACTTATTTTTTATTTATTTTGTGTTTTTAGGAAAAATATTACATCAGCAATTATTTTATTACCCTTTAAATTTATTTCTGGAGATTATCCAAGGTGCTTCATGACCCATAATTGGGTCCCAAGCCCAACTTTGGGAACCAAAGTGCAGTGGTTCCCAAACTTTTCAGCTTTTGACCCACAAAATAACAGTAGCAGAGACCTGTGCCCCCAGCTATTTTTGATGATAAACATTTGTATCAGGTCAACAAAACATGGACATACAGTAGTAACAATATTTTTTATACTACATTTATCCATTTTAAATATACTAACCTCACTCCTTTGTAACAACTAAGGCAAAAATTTCATTAATTCAGAAAATCTTTTCAGGACCCCACCTTGATGTTTCAGGACCCCACTTTGGGTCCCGACCCCAACTTTGGGAAACACTGGTCTAGAGGGTTTTACACTTCTATAAATCTAACATGTAACCAGGCTAAGAAATAGCAAAGATCAAAAATAAAAAAATATTTTTATATATCCTAAAGTGATAGTTACCATTCAACTAACGTGATATTTAATGAATGACTTTTAAATGCAATTTTACTCTTGCAAAACTAAAACTCAAGCTGAATGTTTGCCTGTTTTACAGTTGAAGTCCTGGCTGACACCCAGTTTGACTCTTTTGCTTTTCTAACTAATTTTCATAAAAGTCTTGACTCATCAAGAATGACTCATTTAGGAACCTACTGTACATATTTTCTGTAATATTTCTGCATCCCGCTGAAGTGCCTGATGGGTGAAATTTTACTGCAACTTTTTTTTCCCTTTCTCTTTCTTAGCAGGAGAACTCGGTGTGCAGTTTTTGGATATTTGGTGCGTTTGTGAAGCTGTTTTCTGTCCTTACCTGGTCCATCTGATCCTGAGAGGGGTGAATTGAGCTTGGGTCGCTTTGCAGTGGGGGGTCCCGCATCCAGGAGATTTTCAGCCATCCTGTTCGGTGAATATTATGAATGGATGAAGATTCAGAAAAATAAAAAATAAAAATAAACCAGGCTGTCCAAATCGTCAGTCTCTACTTTGTAATGATAGGTAACTTTTTCCCAACGTTGCGTGCGAAAGAACAACGTAGTTTTTTTTTTTTCTTGAATGGCAGACAAGCGAAATTCTGCCTGAAGAAAATGACTTCAAAAGAAGGGCAACAGCGCCACGCTTCGCCACCGAAGATCACCCCATGATAATCCAACACCCAACACCCACATAATTATCCTCAATAACTACGTTTAAAAATTATTTCAGTTCAAGAAAAATAAATAAAAGGCATTCAAAAATTAATACACACGGTGTAAGCGAATCCCTTTGCCCACAGTTCGCCGATTTCACGTAAATACAGAATCATTTTTTTCGCTGTCGAAACAAACGTCCGTAAAATCCACTTTTGGCTCAAATAAAAAGAAGAAAATTTGGAAAATATTTTCTATGAGGCGGATTATTTTTCTCGTCGCTGTCTCCCGTTAAAACACAGCGTCTCCGCACGGAGATACGGCGAGAAGCGGCGCCGTCTAAAAGGGAAATCAAACATACAGTGGCCTTTCGAGACGATAAAAACACACGTAACCCTCACATGATTGGATTCATTCTCAGCGGAAGAACCCAGTCTTCGATTTTCTGCCAGAAAAATGCCGTTTGAGTCGGGTCCGGGTGGCTCCGAGAGGTTTGAAAATTAGTGCTCCCCCCGAAATCCCGATTCTGAGCCGCGTCAAGATGGCGGCTGTTGATTCCTCCGATACAAAAAAAAAAAAGTTTTTTTTTCTTCCCAGCTAGACTGTGGGGGGAGGAGAGGAGGTGTCGTGCTCTGACGTCCTGACGTAAACCAGTGTCCCACCGTGCGTCATGTGGACGTACGTGTAGTCGCCTTTAGGGGTGCAATAACTTTAAAAAATCATGCATTTTAGCTCTACCTGCTACAAACTGAGCGCATTATCAGCTACAATATGCCATTAATATGGCTGACATGAAGATTTAAATAAACAACCATCCTACAAATAACTATAGCCTTTTTACGGTTTATAACATGACTTCTACATAACTGCTTTATTCTTCACTTTGTATTAACCTGTAGTTTCCATTAAAGTAAATTTGAAATGGAATTTAAATAATAGCTAAATAGTTTTCACTATCAGACATATAAAATCCTGTTGACCAAAAGTTTAAATAATAAAAATTCATTCAAAAGACAAATCAGTAGGCTATGTTCTATATTTATTTTTAATGGAAAATAATATTTGGATTGAAAAGCTTTTTTTTTCTTACAAGTTTTATGCTATTTAGCAAATAAAAACAAATTATGGTACAACCAATGACTCAAGGTTGAATTTTATGTCAAAAACATTACTTGCTCTAAAAAAAGGTAAAATAAATTACTAAAATCTGCACATAAGCTATGTACTTTGTTAAAATCTATTGCTGGTAAAAACTTTAGTGTTGTGTGCAATCTGTAAATTCAATTTGACATCAATTCCCAGCAACCATCTTTATTTAACAACTTCCACTTCACCTATCAGCGAGCTATGTACAAAAACATTTTCAAAAATAAGGGAATAAAATGGTTTTCTACATGAAATTACTAGTCCAATCCTACCTACCAGCATGTAACTTAGTGTCTCCACATTTTATTTAGTGAGTTGAGAAAGAAAAAGAAATTTGTATTGATTAAAGCCTTTGCATGTTATATTTCTTGCTATAATGAAAGTTTCGATAAAATTTCTTATCTTTCCAAGGATCTCAAAAAATACACACAAAACACTTTCACAAACACTCAGAGGTAACATGCGAACATAAGTATTATTTCAACATTGAAGTTTTGCAGCTCTTTAAACTAATACTCTAATGCATGCATTTATATAAATAATAAACAATGCTTAGATGGTTTACAATAGAAAAGCATAAAGCACATAAAAATGAAACCCTTGTGCAATTATATTTTAACAGTTTGACTGTGTAAGATCTGATGAAAAAGACAAAAAAGTCTTAAAGATAAGCAAAGAAATTGTAAGAGATGGCAATGACACTCTTTGGCGTCAACATATTCCCAGTGTGTGTTTCTGCTGGTTCAGAATGTCACTTACAACTCAATTAATTAGGCATATTCAACTCAAACTGTATGCTCATGTACACAAAAAAACTGCCTACAAACATGTATAGAGATTCTTTTTTTTTCTTGTCCACAGAAAAAGTATGATCACAAAAACACAAAATTTGAATAAGCTTATCAAAATTACAAAGACAAAATTAAAGGTATGTTCATGTTTGCTTTTTAAGACACTCAAATTTCTACCTCCACTAGCACTTTACATTAGATAACTATTTTCCCTTTATTGTTGTGTAACAAATTATGGGTTGCTACAAGGGTTGTGTGCTCATTTGCAAAATGAGGTTATTTCCCTTTTAACCTTTATTACTATTTTTAGACAAACTTTTGGCACATTCTATATGCACATAAAAATACTAATTATAAAAGGGATTCAAAATAATGTTTTTAATGTGAAATTTTACATTTAATTCAAGAAAAGGCACTGCTCATATATCTTAGAAAAAACTATCAAAATTAAAGGTGACCCAAGCAAAAATATAAATTGTTACAAGAAATTAAATCAACTTAAAGTGAGGACAAAATTGAATCAAATCTGAATCAAAATGTACAAGACATTCCAACTTTAACCTAATACCATTCCTCTATTCTTTAATATCAAATACAAAATACAATATAATTAACAAAAAAAGATAAAGCTTATTGTTTTTTATGCAATATTAATTTTTGCTGTATTACAAATTCTGAATGTGAAATGGCAGTTTGAAAAGATTCAAACAAAACTCAAAATAAGACAAGCAGACTTCACAGTAAACCTTTTTGCTTTTGAGCACACAGTCCTTTTTGCCAATAGAAAATGCAGATACATTTATAATGATTCAACATAAACCAAAAACAATTAAAGCTCAAGAATTACCATTTTTGCTTTTACAGTGCTATCACATTAAGTTACATGCAGTTGAAAGTTTGAGGCAGCAAAAGCGTCAACATTGTTTGCATCCAGTAGCCTACTGTCGTTCACATACTACAGAGCAGGGTCTTAAACAGTTCAAATTCCATGTAACAAATGCAAATAAATTACATTCTACTGATTATCATCGTCTTGAAAAAATAACTATCAACTACTTTAAAACACAACGTAATTATTTCCAATCTTTAGGCAGTTTTTTTTTTCCTCAAGTCCATCTGAAGTCATAGTTTTAATCCACAGGTACACCAGTTCATTGTAGAAGCCATAGAAATCCTCCTTAATAGTTTGATTTCTCACAAGAGTCAGGAGTTTGGGCAGAGGGCACAAATACTACAAGCTTATGATGTCGCAAGCATGCGGAATAAATATAGCTGAGGAAATCATCCCTAAGTGTTGTGACAATACAAAGATTTTATCTGTGTGTAGAGAATAAGCTGCCACATCAGCAAACAAGATTTCATCATCCCCCCACCCACCTACCCCCAAATAAGTGTAATTTTGCAATTTGGACAAGACATTTGTGTAGCTCACAGCTACCTCTACTGTTTAAACCCTGCCTGAAGTTAGACAATAAACACAGAGATGCATTACACTGCATTTATGGAAATACACTCACACAGCTCAGACTTGTCTGCCTGTATCGATTAGTCCTGGCTAGAACGTTCATGTGGAATTTTCTGGTTTTAACACAGAGGCACTGCAGCGTTTTTGTGCAGGTTTTACCATGTTAGAATAGTGGGGTTTTTTTTCCAACTTACCACAAATATTAATACTTTTCACTTTGATTTACTCTTGAACACAAAGGCAAAAGTGTCATAGCAAAACATACTGCACTTTAAAAAGTAAAGCTGTAAGAAAAGCAAATATTCCACCCCCCAAATGTGTTCTTATTTTCCCTTTATGCCATTTTCTTAGTCAAAAAGGCCTAGTTTGTATCTTATTCTATTCTAAAGGCACTTAAAAGACATTTGAAAAAATAATCAATATTAAAAGTGCAAAGATAATCAAGTAAGTTAATGGGAGACTGTGAGATTTTTAGCAGGCAAGAAGGGAAATCAGCATCAGCTGCAACATTTTCCCAGTTTCTTATGTGTTCCTGCCTAACAACCTTTGTGAGGTCCACCAAGCTCTTGATAAAATCAGTCTATCATATTTATACAACAAACCACCTGAATCATGGCTGATAAAAAAAAAAGTTCACATATTCTTTCAAAACTTCCACCTCCACCTTAAGTAGGACCAAAACTATAGCATGTATACATGTCAACCTGCAGGAACAATAGCTTAAAGGTTCAAAGGCAGATAAGAAAAGTGCCATTGTAGCAAATGCCTAAAGCCTGGTTAACTCTCCAGCATTGACGTCATTATCATTCTCATGTTTGTCTTTCTTGACGTCTTTCGAGGACTTTGTTGGATTTCGGGGTGTATCTTGCTGGACTGAGGATGAGATGATAAGCTGTTTGTTATTTGACGATTGTCCTTCAAGACTGGCTACAGGTATGGATGTTAGGCCACTGTGAGACACTGATCGTCTGGGATAAGAAGTTCCTGTGGAGTGACTTCTGTGATGGATTTCTGCCTCTTTTGTTTGACTGAGACCTGTAAGATTTGAGGAACCAGCGCTGGCGCTGGGTACCATTGTATTGGTACAGCTCGCAATCATGCTCGTTGTGGGGACCATGCTAGCAATTTCATCAGTGGGAGAGCGCCCAATGCTGCCATCCACCTGCGCTCGAATCTCAGGCGAGACAGAGAGCTGGTACTGAGGTACAGGACCACTGTCACTGCTTTTTGGGAAAAGGAAAGTCTTCATCTGACCTTTGCCTTTGACATTAACTGTGCCCCGATAATCAAATTCATAATCCATGCCACTGAGGACACAGTAGCTCTCCTCGCTGACCTGAACGCGACACTCCACACCTGTCGTGTCCATGCGGCTTGCAATGTTGACAGTGTCGCCCCAGATATCGTAGAGGAGCTTTGTGGTTCCGATCACCCCTGCTGTCAGAGGGCCGTGATTGAATCCAATGCGGAGCTTGAAGCCAAAGCCAAGCATGTTCTTGTTGAAGTCATCCACCACTCGCATCATCTCCAGGGCAAACTCAAAGAGAGCACGAAGGTGTGCGTGAGGATGAGCTGCATCTGCGCACTGCTGAGCGTTGAGTCCAGCCGCTGCCATGTAAGTGGCACCGATCGTCTTGATCTTTTCGATGTTTGCAAAGATAGGCCTGCGTAGGAGCTCGTCAAAGTCACCAATTAACTCATTAAGGACACGATAGCACTCCTTGCCTCCCTCATAGCTTTCTTCATAAAACTCACTGAAGTTAACAATACTGGCAAATATAACCCCCACATTGTCGTGGTTCTTAGAGTAACTCTGGGTCACCTTAAGTTGCTCGGCCACATGAATCGGAATTATATTGCGAAGCAGCCAGTCGGCCTGGTCTCTCATGTTCTGAATCTTGATGCGGTGTTGATCGGCTTCCACATTGCCATGGTAATGCAAACGGTAGCTGACCTCAAACTCACGGTTAAGGAACCAGACCAGGAGGAGGAGAAGGAAAAAGGCCACGCAGGCTTCGGGAGCAAGGATTTTTAGGTGGGTTTGCGGGTCAGAACTTGTTGGGTTGTCAGACAAAAAGATGGAGCTGTTGCCAACATTGTTTTGAGCATCAGTCCTTGTGAAAAAACAACAACAACAACACAAGAATTATAGCAGTTACTAAGAAAAACATTGGGCAAAAATATGTCTAGAGATAAATGTTGCTTGTAGCTTCTGTAGCTACAAGAAATCTTTGACTAAAATGTTTTTGTGTGTGTTAAATAAATGTTTAAAGAAACTCATTAGGTCTGTCATACCTGCAGGGAGAGCTGAAGAGCAAAACAAGCATCACGAGTCCCACCAGTGTAGCCACTGCTGAGCGCATCCAGTAGCTGAGCTGGCAGAAGTTACAATACTGAATAATAGCTATGATGATCGCACAACAGATGAACATGGTGTACTGAGGGGAAAAAAGAAAAATATTACTAAAAAGGAAACAGATACTGCAAATTAAATTGTCTAAAAACATCATAATCAAGTTAGAAAAAAAATCAGTAACACTGATGACACCAACGGTTAGCTGAATTCAATCATACAACGATTTTAGCAAAGACTGACAAAAAAAAATCCATAAAACTGAATTCCACCTGAATAGAAAGATGCATGTCACAGGAGACGTGGGAGAGGACCACCACACCAGGCAGAGACACCAGGACAGCTCCGATTAAGTGACGCATCACCCAGCCTGAGACGGCTCTCATCAGCACCCGAGTGCAGCTCAGCACACTGTCCAGGTAGAAAGCCATACTGGAGAAATAAGAAAAAGGAAAGGTGTAACTTAAATAAATGAAAGACTTTTAAGTTTAAATGTTCTTGATAGTTTCTATCTCTAGTTTCAAGTTTTTATCCCCACTCATCATCTTTATGTCTGCAAAGGTACATAAGTTACAATTTCTGCACGCGTTTGCCCGTTTTTCTTAATATGTAGAAAGCACATCAGGTGGCACTGACAGAATTCCCTTACCAATACAAGCAACTCTGTGATTTTCATAATGTGGCTTTAGCCTCTTTATTAGGGGTAAAAATGTGTTGACAGGTATAATAATATTATGAAAACTGTAATGGCAACTTTACTTTGCCTGTCTCACTGGTTAAATTTGGCTTAGAGCCTGGTAGTTAAAACCCACAGACTATGTCTTGTTTCTCACCGTATAGCAAACAACAAAGCCAGAGCCTCCAGTATTGCAGCTACAGATGTCAGAGTAAGAGCCAGTCTGGAAACGCTCTGCTGAGTTACTTGTGGTCGAAGGAAACAGGCAATTGAGAGGGCAAAAACTACTAAACAGCACAGAAGCATATCCAGGAAAGAACTGAATGTCGGACTGGCAAATGTCTGCACCGCTGCTTGGTTTTCCACCTAGAAGAGGAGACAAAAAACGGTGACCAGAAACAGAAGTAAATTAATGTTATTAATGTCTTCACTATAGTCAATCCTACTTTTGCTGCCATAGAATTGCAGTCATGCCATCCAAAGTGTACGTTTGAGGTTACACCAGCAGAGGGCACTGTAACTCAATCAATTTCTGCACTGAGGGTCCTGCAGTGATTTCTCTTTGCCGCAGTCTGACCAGTCTGGTTATAACGTTGTGCTAACAGGCTTCCCAGACAAGGGTCAGACACTGGGAAACTCAAACAAAACAATAAAAATGCCACCTCAAACATACACATACAGGAAAACGGCAACGCAATAGCTGCAAACACTAAACGGCACTGACGTTTCCTGCAGTTGTAAGAATTTTCATTTCAGATCACACTCACAAAAAAGACAATATGTCACAGTTTAGACTCACAACATGAACAGATAATCATGGAAATGTAAAAAATAAAAGCATATGCGTGCACTCTTATCACCAGTTGGCATATGGGCACCAGATTTCACACACACCTCCTCCTGGTAGCTTATCCTGTAAGCAGACTCCAGGCTCTTCTCCAAGAAGGTGAGGCTCAGCTTGTTTAAGGGAGGTTTGTAGAAATAATCCTTCATGAGACTATAACAGAAAGGTGAACAATCCACAAAAATATCTCTTATTCAGGTTTCTAAGTTAACATCATTCAAATACAAATCAGCATAATTTTCCCATAAAAAATGACAGGTCTCTGCTTTTAAGTTTTGCAATAAAAGGAACATATTTGTAATGATGGGATTAAAGTATTTATTTTCACTTAGTTACCTATCCTCCTTGATAACATCCACAAAGTGAGCGTCACTCCTCTCCCTGAAGTTTTTGGACCGCAGAGGGATGAGCGCCGAGTGGTCCATGCCCATGGCTCCTCCACTCCATGTCTTCTTCTCCTTTTCCTGCAGCATCTCGCACAGCGACGTCTGGCTATTATTCAAGGCCTCCAGCTGAGGACTGAGAAGACCATTCACAGTTTTGGGGCTGCGCCCAGCAGATATCGCAGGGGAGCACTTCAAATTTGAAGAGTCCTAAGAGGAAGAGCGACATCTTAAATTCCCAAGAAAGGAGGTGAACTAATGAGTTTTGAAGTAGGTCAGCAGCGTTTTTAAGTAGTCCAAATAGGAAATATAAAAAAGAAAGTCTTTGTTTTAGTCTCGCCAGTTCAGATTTATGCACCAAATGTATCCAGGACTCATGCAGTTCTACTTCTCTGAACTAATTTTATGACCTCTTTGTCCTCTCTTGAACATTAGATCTTTTAAACTAATATAACAAGACAAAAAATGGAAAAATATAATTCAGATATGTTCTCATTTGCAACATGTTTTCTGCTTTCAACAAGTTAAGAATACAAGGCAAACCTTGCTATTTGTTTTGTTGTCTTCACGGCAGCCATTGTGCACTATTCCTTCCTCTAGAACCTGATCCTCTCCTGCTATTAGGGTCATACTGCAGGACAGACAGGGAGACTGTGCAGAGTTTGGAGACAGTAAAGAGAGGAGAAACATTGTAGTACGAGGTCACATTAGGAGGATGAAAATTAATATGTTTTGTAGAGAAAATACAAAAGGATGAAGATAATGAATGAGAACCCACAACTTTTTCTGAGAATCATGTTCTCAGCAAATGTTCCCTCATGTGGAGGGGCAGCAACAAAGAAAAAAAACAAGACAACAAAAAAGTAAACATGAGAAGGTTTTCATGAGATCAAGGTCTTTTTCTCACACAAATGCACTGGGATCTGTGTGAAGTGGATACTCAGTGTACAATAAAAACTAAAGACCTTGCATTTTTTACAGGAATTCATAACATTCACCACCTTTCATGACAGTTTTAAACTAAAACATCTTATGCTAATAAGGCTCAAATTCATGCCTGTTTTGCTCAAATCTATAATTTTATATTATAAAGATATTTCAAGGTGTGTTTATGTGCCGAGTGTATGCTTTTGGATGATTCTCAGCTACTATCGCACCAAAATTAGCTTAATATATGCATTCTGGATAAAATTATTTTTGTGCTGGCTAGGGTCGATTAGATGTGGCAGCCATCCTATAGTAGGTTGACTCCAAATGTTAATTGGTTGTAGATATGATATATATACAATGATTTGAGGATTTCATTAAAATCTGTCCAACGGTTCATTAGATATTTTGCTAACAGGCATATTTTGACTTCAATAAAAACAGATCTCACACAAGTTTTGGTAGGGTGCACAATGTAGTAATGAGCCATAAATAAAAATATGAGGTTTTATGGTGATACTGGGCTAAAGGTCAACACAAAGTCTACCTTCATGCATGCACAAAAAGGGATTTTTGTTTTATAAAAGCTTCTACACCCACATAAAGCACACAGAATGTTGTAGAACATGGAGCTCCTCAGGCAGTGCAGATATGCAGTGATACAACTATACTGTTCCAACAACATGTCCAGCTTTCTCAGAGATAGTGAAAGCTCACCTTGGATTTGTCTTGGGGAAGGGTGCAGGCTAAAGCAGCTCCATCAGGCGTGTGCAATCTGGGCACAGGACACTGAAAGTCTGCATGTTCTGGTCTAGACAGTCCCATCTGGGAGCAGTTACATAGGGACTCAACCTTTCTGCTAGAGATAAGGTAGGTCCTCATGCCTGGAGAGAGAAGGGAATAAAGACGCACAGGTTAGAGATCATTTTAGTCATCCATCCTTGTATGTACATTAAAGACACGATGGGTTGTGGAAATGCGTTAGGATTCAGCAGAGGCTCGATACCTAGGATGATTTCCCTCAGTGACTTTTATGAGCAGGTTTTTAAAAAAGAGAAAAGCACAGAATAGAAATATGTTCCACTTGTGAAAAGCCAAGGTCATTCACATGAATCATTCCTTTTGTTGCATATACATAAACAAGGCGGTGCTTTGACACAAGTTTGTGTATTATTCATGCTATTCAAAAATCGGATGATTCAGACATGCACAGAGAAACCCTTTGACTCATACAGCTGACACTTTAAGGTCCATGTCTTCTCTCAACGATCACTTCTTTTAATCACACTCACTTCATTTCTGCTTTTCCACAGCCTGGGCATAGATTTATGTCTGGTACCAAATTTCTCCTATTCATCCTTCTTGAGCTTCTACACCATGTGAAACTCAGCATTTCTGTTGAAGTGAAACGCAAGAGTTTCTGAAAACGTTTGGATATTTGTATCAAATGACCATGTTCAGTTTCATACAAGCTGCAGTCAATATTTGAACACCTGCGTCTTCCCGCTTCTGTCAACCTATTAGCATTTCTATCACATCCACAAGGTTTCTGAGTGCGTTTGTGAAGATTTCCCTCAGATGTGAACTTGTCAGTTCCTTAAGCTAGTATCTCACTGGGCTGTGACTGTCGAAAACTTAACTTCAAATTGTAAAATAGGCACGTTTTCCAAGGCAGTCTCACTGAATTCTAAGTGTTTGTGACTAAATGACCAGTGAGCTATGTGGCTCTCCTAGCTTACTGTCATGTGCATAGCTTGCATAACTATATTCTAAAAACACCCCTAGACACCCTTTTTTCATGTTTTTTTTCATCATCTCTGCAGCTGTAATAGCTGGGGTGTGCCTTTTTAGTAGTTTAAGGTCTTATATGTGGGTCTGAGTCCACCTACAGTCTGTACGCAGACCCAGTTTGTGATCAAACTCCTCTTCATTTCCCTCACATCATGTTGTGAGAAGATACACTCGTGCTGTCTGTGTCTGCAGCACAGGTAAGTGCAGGTGACTGCGTGCTTAGCCACATAACCTGACTGTCAGTGAGGCCACATCCTCAGGCTCGGAGTTTTGTCAGTGCTAAATGCTTCAGACAGGGCTGTTACTGCCTGTGTTGAATCACCCCGCGGCTGCACTCTGACACACGATGACCATACATGACATCAAAGAACGCATCCTTATTTTCCAATGAAGCCACAAAAATTATAATAAAACTCAGAGATTGATAGTGTGGCAAAAAGAAAAAAAAAAACAAGACTCGCATAAGAAACAACACTAACCGCCTACACACACAAACACACACACACACAAACACCTTCACACAAAGTGTGCGGAGGTGTAGATGGACTGCTTCACAGTCGCTGTTGATGTCCAGGTGGATGAGATTCAAGGAGAGGAAATGAAGGCGGTAAAAAGCTGTAACAACAAACTCATTCCTCGCACCAGTGATGCAGAATGACACAGCAGACGAGAACAGGCAGCGGGGAAACCGAGGAGCGCCCCTGGCTGCCTCTGAAAATGAGAACGTGTGAGTGTGACTGTGTGTTAGACCCAGAAACACAAACACACAACAACACAAAACGCACACAGCATTGAATTATTTCATTACTTTACTAATCAAATGCCTCTCTGGCTCCTGCCACGGCACACTCTGGCTTCTGCTGATGAGTCAGCAGGGTTATTTCTCCCCAGCATTTAAGGTTTGAACATATTTTTAGAAACAGTGGGTACAAGGTAATCAATAACCCTACGATATTCACATACAATTAGAACAAATACTGCTGAATATATATATATGAAGAGAACCAAGCTAAATCCACCCAAAAATAAATCAGTGAACCGTTCAGTTTCTATTCCCCCAACACTGTAAAACATTATGAAAGATAATGAAGCATTTTAAGCTATGCTGCATGAAAAATTAAAGGACAAGAAATATTTTGGACTCAATTCTCTGTATATTTTCATTCCAAATTAAACGTGAATGTTTCTTCATTTTCTGGTGRCATTTAAATGGAGTGCAGGTGTACCCAGGGATTTGGTATTAAGAACAAAAAAATGCTCAGTAACCATTTTTTGTATTTAAAAAACCTTCTAAAAACCTTTGAAAAATCCAAGATTGTTAAACTTCTGTCAGACACATGGAGCACTATTTAAAATTCCAAAACCCAGACACCACTGTCAGACTAACAAGACGAAGATGAAAGGTTTTTTTTTTTAAGTACGATGAGACAAAATGACTCTTGATGAGTAAATTATTGAGCTTGTAATACTTCAAGTCTTGTACCAACAAGTTGGGGAAAAGTCTAAAAGAAAGGGAATTGATGGAAGTTAAAGATAAACTAAAATATTCACCCAAACCAGACGGCACTCTTTAGTGTTAACATGAAGAAATCCAAAGATTTTAAAAAAAGGACCTTTTTGCTTCCTGCTTTATTTTAAAACTTCATTAGTCAACTAAAAACTAAAAGATTGCCTTCTTCCACCTCTGACCTAAACTTGGGCAAAGCAAATAAGAGTTTATGAGAAAATGATGCAATACTAAAATTGTACTGACTTTTACAATAAAAAAAAGCTCATAACTAGTTCATCTGATGACTGAGTTTGTGTCCTGCCCAGCACTCTGGCTCCCAGCAAAGTAAATGTGTTGCTGACTCGATTTCAGACATTTTTTTGTCTTTGTCCAACTAAAAATAGATTACTGAGTTACGCACTAAACACAAGAATCCATTATTTATCTCTCTACAGGGTAATAAGAATGTTTGTTAAGCTTTTCATTCCACGTCAGAGTCTCAAAAGTCAGAGAGGAGTAAGAGAAATCGCATGTAGAAGATGTCAAAGTTGGTATGAGGGGATGTATGAGCTTTCTATTGTTTCGATGCGTCTGTTTCTTTTCATTAAAGGAGAACCTAATATACAATCCAACCATGTACAACCAGTAAATGCAGTGGTGGGATGTAACTAAGTATAAGTACTTTGTTGCTGTACTTTATTACATTTTTATGTATCTGTACTTTACTTAAGTAGATTTCATCATGGGTACTTTTGACTTTCACTCCACTACATTTTACATTAAGTATCTGTACTTTCTACTCCACTACATTTCTGTAATGCGTTGAATTACAAATTACATTCATGTCACGTCGTATTACGATTTATTTATTAATTTTTTGTGGTTTCTTGGGTTTTTTAGTTTGAAAGTAATCAGTAGTGAGAGGGGGAATTGCTGTAGTTGGTCCATTGAACCACTGCAAAGCAGGAAAGTACCATTAGACCCTCCTTCAAAAACAGCGGAGCGATCCTGCATCACCTGCTGGGGCATCAGCAGCACGTGCACAATGGAGTCCACCACAGAGGGAATGTGTCACTCTTGGCCATATTTAAAAGACTTATTCAAGTTAACTGGTTCAAAAACAACTTGTTGAGATTTGATAAAGAATGTTGGTGGCAATTTTACAGCTTCTGTAGCTGTCGTCACAATCTGTGATGATGCACAATCATCACGGAATCACAAGTCCAAGTGTGAACAATGTCAGAGGTCAAACACAAAAACATGCATCGTCTGCAGCACTGTTCACTAAAATGGCACCATTGATGTGGTAAAAATATACATACAGAAGGCACACTTCATAATTTTTTAAGACCATTAGGGAATAAATTAAGCAAGTACTTTTTAATACTTTAAGTATTTTTAAAAGCAAGTACTTACTTTTACTCAAGTAAAATTTTAATGTGGTACTTTTACTTGAGTACATTTTTGTCTGTTTATCTGTACTTTTACTTAAGTACAGTGTTTAATTACTTTCTCCACAACTGAGTAAATGTTGTGTTACGGGCGCTAGATTGCTGCTCTGATACAAAACTTACACTGCAATCCACTTCAACCAGGCTCCAGTATTATCAAAATACAGCTGTGCTCTAAAAAGGGCCCTGTAGGGAAGGGAAAGGTCCAAAAGCTCCATGATGTGTGTTCTAACTCGTGTCACCGGTTTCTCTCCTGCTGTCTATGTGTTATTCTACCCTTCTGTCACGCAGCACAATATTTTGATAATTCCTGAGGCAGGTGTGCGCATCCGTCAAACTCATCTCTCTCTCTCTCTCTGATGTCCTTGGGCTAACTGAAGAGCATCATTAGTGGCAGCCTCTAAGCATTATGGGACGTGAAGTGTCCTGTCTTGTGCTATCAGCTGACAGGGAACAGTAGATAACCTTTCCCTGAGAGAGCCCGGTCACATCATCTCCTCCTCCAAACCTCTTTGTTCAGAACAGACGAGTGCAAAATGAGAAAACACTTGGCAAACAAATAACGCCATCGCTTCTACTACTCTCTCACACTCATCTCTCTATAGCACGTCCAAGCTCATGATGAACAATACTTGTCCCAGAACCTTTTCTGTTTGATGCCAAGAGTGCCTCAAACAGGGGGGAAAGGGTTGCACATCAACACACAGTGCAGTGGTCATTTAAGACACTTAAAACATAACCATCCTCTGGCCCTGAGCAAAGACAAGGACAACTAAGAGGCACAGAAACATCCAGCAAACAAACAACCTGGCAGCTTTAACACACATTTTACACAGCTCTTCTCTTAAAGACATTATAAAAAAAAAAACCCTCTGGTCAAAACAAAAGAACACATAAAACGAAAGCAATAAAATCACACGACAGCTAGTTCACATAAATATAAAATGCTACAGACATTTATCATAAAGCAACACTTTTTTCCCCTACTTTCCACTTCTGACCCAAGTTGGACAGAGTATCCAACTGCTGTTCCAGAGAGGCTTATTATAAAACCAAAGAACAGAGAGGGCAACAAAGAGCTAAGGAGTGTTGGCAGATATGCTTGGTTCAGTGCACACACACACACACACACACACACACACACACACACACA